ACAAAGCGGCCGCATGCTGCGGTGGGGTAATTTTGGTAAAAGCTCGCGGTGCACGCGGTGGCGTATGAGTAATATATTTACCAACGGCTAACCAAAGTGCAGCAACAATACAAAATTCAAATGTGATTATAGTAAACGAAAATTCCAAAAACAATTGTAAGTGCATTAGAATATAAACAGAAAACAATTAAAAATCATAATTTATTTGATTGTGTGCTATTATGGGAACACATGAGTGTTATGCAGCATGTCAAACATCCAGCACACACTCACCCGTAAGCACACACACACACACGCACACAGACATCAACATATATGTGTGTAGAGAGTTGTGTTGGGCTGTCTGGCAGCTCTTTTAGTTTCGCATTCATTTGCGAGAAATCCCAGCGGCTTGTGTTCACTATTTAGCTAAAACTGTGCCTTCAAGTGCTGCGAGGCATCGCATCTCGCTTAATGGGGGCAGCGGCTCGTTTTGGCCCTGCAATGCGATTCGTGTTAAGTGGGGTCCACGAACCCCTGGCAACCCCATTTAACCCTAACCCAACATAAACATTAACGCCTGAAAGTGTTCTCCGGGCAGAGATACAACTCGTTTTTGGGTTAGCTAGTTATTTGAGCAAATGTTTGAAGTGTTGCCATATCAGTTGGCAGCTGTGTGTGCGTGTGTGCGTGTCTGTGTGTTAGTGCGTATGTGGCCTAAGGACGATTAAATGGATTTGATTTTGGGGCTGGTAAAGGCTCTGATTCGACTTTGTTTATGTATGTTAATGTAGGCTGCATATTTGTGGCTGAGCTTGTTTTGGGATTATGAAATTCAAATTGGAAATTCAGCATGGAACTGGGAAATGAGAACTAGCTGTTGCCTAATCTAGCAATAGTTTAGGCATAATTATTGTATGTTGGCTAAAGCGTACACTAATTTAATCTTAAAAAAATTTAACAAGCCAATAAAGAGAAATGTTTGCGGTTCAGACATCAAGGTTATTGCAGTGAAAATCTAAATGCATAGTATGCATTCTGCAATAGATAATATAATTTGCATAGTCTGAAAAAAGACAGAATATATAGTCTGATAATGATGCCCCTCCCCGCCAAACCTCCCTAAAAACCGCATACAAATTAGCATATCAAGTTGCGCTCCTTATGCATTTTGAATTAACCTTACTTGAATCCAATTCAGTTTTACCACAATTAGCAGCACCAAATAATCCTGAAAGCGAAACAACTTTTACTTAGAATCATTGAGCTGTAATCCAACGTCAACGACAATTGGCAACACCTTCATATGCTGGAGCACATCCGCATTGTATCCGGCAGCACATTCTCATTTGATGCAATTTAAAATGAAATTGCATTTTATTTGCGCAACTTCATTAGCAAAACCCTTCAGCAAATTCATTACGACTCTCCCAATGACTATCAAAATATAGGGCACTGCGAATGGCTGCAGTCAGCCAAAATTTGACTGTCACATACACAGACACACTCGCACACTCACACACACACACACTCAAGCACTCACTTACTAATACACTGACACACTCACCTACGAGCACTCGAAGGTCTGCCTTCTCGAGTGCGGAAATATTTAAAGTGTCACACACGCTGTTCGGAAATTAAATGTGAACGCTGCTTATGCTCAGCCAGTAAAAGTGGCTCAGAAGACGGGAACTTTTGGCGCTGCGGAAGGCAGACGCTACATTACACTGTGCAGCAACATAACTGAATAACATAAATATTTTAGCATTTAAAGTTTTATGTGTTTAACACAGAAGTAGACGGGCTCTGCATACAAGGAAGTTGGTCACATAGACACGATATCTAGTCAAGGGAACCATGGATAAAATTGCCTATTAACAACAGAAGTTATTTATATTAATTTACTTTCTTTTCTTAGACTATGTTGTGTTTAAAATATGACTATGTATGTTATCAGAGAAGCAGATGTTATATTAACATTCTATAAAGTCATCTATGTGCAACCCTAAAAAATGTAAGATTTGATTGACTATGCCTGTGACATTGGCACATTATTAAAATATGACCATGGAGGTTGCTCAGCAATATATCAGTTATAAGTATATTGCACACATATATTGCACATTCACATTCTCCACATTTTTTATTTACCATTATCTGTGACCATGGAGCTGGCCCAGACATTGATCGGCAATTGTGTTGCTTAGTGCAGTTTATTTACTTGTATTTGTTGTGTTGATGGCCAGTGCCAGCTCTGCTCGCCAGCAGGTGAGGCGTCTCTTTTTGTGGGCGAGGCGCAAAAACAAAACGACATTGTTCGCTTTTGTTGTGGCAACTTCTTCTTCTTGTTCCACTGATACCCCTGTATCATACATTTCATTGCATACTTCCGAGTGTTTGTTGTGCATATTTTTGTCGGTCGCCCGCCGGAGGGGTTTGGCGTTTTGCGTTTCGGGCTTTGGGTTTTAGGTTTCAAGTGTTTTGCGGTTAGTTTTTTGGAGTCCACAGTTTACGTTACGTTTGTTTGGCCTCCTTTGTGGCACATTTTGCGGTGCGTATATGTAGCATTGTTGCACGCAGTATGTGGCTGTATTTATTAAATTTAACTGTCGTGCCATGTTTTCCTTTAAGCACCTTTTCGAACAGTTTAAGCTGATAAACGCTCATATATGAATGCTGGTGGTTTATGTTTTTCCTTTTCATCTTGGAAAGTAAAGTTTTAATTACACGTTGGTTTTTAATGTTTTTTTCACATTATGTACACTTTTGTCTAATTCTGATGCGTTTTTGTGGGCGCACCGGATGGATTTAGGCAGGGTGGCATTAAAATTAGAGTAGGCAAAATATTTAATAATTTCAGCTTTGGTTTTTATAGTCTCTTAACTTTAAATGTAGAGCTAGGAGTATCTTGTATCTTTGAATCAACAAATTTCAACTAGAAGCAACCCGAAAGATTCGAATATTTTCCCCATCACCCGTAGTATTCACAGCTAACTGCATCATTCAGTGCTTAAATATAAACATTATTTTATTTTTTGATATTATTAAAAGGCAATGGGAAATTTTTCATTATTTAATTCAAGCGTTTCCTGTGCTTTTTTTCGTAAGTTGAAAGCAAAAGCATTTTTGCCATACCCACTTTTGGGCTTACCCAACCATTTGAAGCAGTTCCTGCAGCAGGAATCATCGAGGCAGCTTCTGATTGCAATGTTCGTACTACTGCTCATTGAATAATTTAAAGAAATATGGCAAGGACTTTGCGCAGTGCGCTGTTCGAGCTCATTTTAAGTAAACATAGACTTGACATCTTCACTTTATTTATTACACACACATGGATAGACACGCACATCCTGCTAGCAATAACAGCAAAAACAACAACAACAACATCAGCAGCAAGTGCTCTAAGCGTTTGCTCAAGTGTGTGAGATTACATAATAGAAACCGCAAATAAATATATCGCGTACTATAGCACATGACATACGCAGCAATAACAACAACAAGCTATGTACAAACATGTGTCTCCGGAGACAGCGAGTGCTGTTCCCCTCGTCCTGCCACAGGACTTGCAGCTCTAAAAGAAAATCAACAGCACGAAAGCAGCAGAAGCAGCAGCAGCAGCAAACGGGTAAAAATAAGAAGGAAAAAGGCAACTGATATACTCGTACCTTGGGCCATACATTCATGATGAGTGCCCGCCGCCCCAGTCCCAGCCCCAGCACATCCGCACCGCCCGCAGGCAAACGCAGCGGTTGTCTTGGCTTGGGGACGAGCCTCTTGCCTGTTGTCTGTATCGAGGTCAAAGCGCATAACTTAAGTAGCCGACAATAAAATGCATAAGATGGCGCACAGGCCAAAAGGCAAAAAGCAAACCTGAGCGAAAATGTAGAAAATATGGCTCTATTTATTTGTACATTAGGCCAACAGTGAGAAGAAAAAGCAGCAGCAGCAGCAGCAGCAGAAGATGTTAAAATACGCGCCTGACAGCCATTGGCCGTGTGTGTGTGTGTGTGTGTGTGTGTGCTGCTCTTATACTCTGCCCCTCCCCTGCGCGTACCTGGTCATAGCAGCTGCTAGCAAAAGGCCAAGTGTTGTGCTTGACATGTGCAGAGAACCCATTGAGCGCACACCCTGAATATACGTTTTTTTCTGACGTGCGTGTCCTGCTGGGGCCATAACAATTTCACGCTGCGCTGCAAAAGCTGACGAGCTCCCAACATAAACCATACTCAAGTCTTTTGGCGAATACATCAAATAATCAAAGCCAAATGAAATTGGGGCAAATATATGAAATTGAATTATGAATTGCCTTTTGTTAAGTCGGAAAAAGATATTTTCGAAAAATTTGGAAAGAAGCTTATCAAAAAGGAGAAATTGTATTGAAAATTTAATGCTTTTTGGCAATACAATGGCTTAATAATATAAAGTTTACCTTGTATACGTGTTGTTGCTATAAGAGCTATATATATACTAACTATATGTGAACTCTTTAGAGTGTTATATAAAACGTGACAATCCAATTTACCTTGCTGAATAGCCCTTAGACTGAAAGGGGAAGACTATGTGTGTAATGCAAATTAAAAGAATACCTATTTTGCAATGTTGCCCTACTTAATTAAGGGTTTGCTCTATATTTGCTTTAGTTTCTAGATTTTTGCCAGCTTTATTGTATTTTTGAAATATCTAAAAGGGTCACAATAAAAACTCAAACATATTTATAAGATTAATTGTAATGATAAGTATGCGCTTAAGTTTTTTTCCATACTCAACAAGTATATTTAAAGTTCTTTGAACATGCGTATGCATATTTCTAAAGTCCTTCAAATGCACGCCAACGCATTCCCCACGCTTTTTGAGCACACGTAAGCGTATTTCGTGCTTGCATAGAATTTTTGGGACAAAACAAACCGCATAATTAAGCGCTGATGTACTAGCAACAACAGCGTCAGCTATTCGTAAATTGTTAACAATGCGCATTACGTATACGCCGTGTGATGACCGCTTTGTTTTTTCTACCCACACAGATACCAGGACATGTACAACAATCCGATAAAGGCCACTAATTTGGAACATCGCGACGTTGTGCTGGATATACTCTCCGATGCTCGGGTTGTTGGACCCCTGCTGCAGACGGGCATGTTCCATGCGGATGTGAATCGACGCAATTATATGTACGTTTTTGGTCATAATAGCGCGACGGGCCCTTATGCACATGTAAGTACAAGTCCATGCATATTTCATATGGTATATCGGTGTATATTGTCTATGTTATAGATTTTGTGAAATGCCGTCAAATTGTGATTGCAATTACGCGCCGCATTTAATTTAAATGCTGTGGTCAATTTTCGAAATATGTAAACAGCATGAGTTGGGCATTTAATGAGTTTTCATGTACTGCCAGGGACCGAAAAAGTTTCCGCCGCCCTTGTGACTGGCAACAGCTCCTGGGTAACTACTCTTTGCTGGGTCATTCCATCATTGGCTGCCATTTTGGCTTTTCAGCAAAACAATTCACAACTTTGCAGCTGTCCAGGCCGCGGCGCGTAACGATCGTAATAAAGGCAATGAACTGCCTTTGAGTCCAGCAAGGATAACAAAGACAACAACAAGGCACACAAAAGCAAAACAAGCTCAACTTTAACTTGACGCCAAGTCGCTAAGTAGACAATGGCCCACTTCACTGGGAATACGGTTTTGTTTTTTTGTGACCCGCGGGCGGGTCTCAGTGGCTGAGTTGTTCGTGGTGACTGGATGGTTGCCTTGTTGCCCGGTTGCCTTGTCTAACTTGTCTGATTATTTGTGTCTCTGCTTCGACTCCTGTCTGTTGGGTCGCGTGTTCATCTTTTGTCTGCGTCCTGCTACTACGCCTCTTGCCGCCAGTTTTTATGGCTCTGTCATGCCTATGGATTTGTTACTGATTGCCATTTGGTGATAGCCTCTTTTGCTCTCGATATAGTAGCTACACTCTCTACGCTATGTTATGATTAAATGTGTCTATCGATTTGTAATTAGGATGTGGGCGCAGATATTTGATAGAGAGTATATCAGAAATTTGATGGCTTGATTGCTGGATGAAACCACTTTGATTCACATTAATGGAAATCGAATAAGTCTTTCAAATTCAATATAGATTGACGATGATATTATGCATGGAAATCCAATTGAGCAAGTGGACATAAGAAATAAGCCAGATATATTTAAAAATATTTTCAGAGAGACAAAAATGTGCGTTCCTAAAAACTATAAAGATTGGAAGTTAAGTGGAAGTTATGAGGGAATTGTAAATGTTTAATCACAAAAGGATACATTTGATTAAATGAAAGGAATGCGAAACGTTTAAGAAATTTAAAGGCTTAAAAAAGCATTTAAATTATATAAGTGCATAGCAAAAAGTTGCATTTTAATATTTGATATTCAATGTTTCCTCAAGTTTCAAATAAACCAATTAAAAGTGCAAATATTATGATCCACACTTATTAAAAAGCTCTGAATAATACTAAATGTATTAATAATATCTGAAATTAAGATATTGGGAGAGTTAAGAAGTTATATATTAAAATCAAAACACAATGAGTAAAATGTAAAAGAAAAGTATTGAAAAAGTGGAAAAGCTATGAACTTCAAACTAAATTATTTTACAATTTTGGAAATAATTCTTGATGTGCTTATAAAACACTGAATACCCAGAAGGAAACAACCAAAACCAAAGCTTGAAAAACTGTTGGCAGTCCGAGACAAAAAGGAAAACACAAATCCCAAAATAAAGAGCACTGAAACTGAAATAATGAATGGGGAGAACACAAATAAAAATAAAAATCTAAATAAAAACGACAAAAAAGTTATTATTTCGCATTACATTTTTAGAAAGTTTAGCTTTGGCTCTGGCGTTAAGCGCATTTTTATGACTGTAGCAACCAGTCCAGGGAGGGTCCATAAGTTGGCCATAAACCATGGCCAAGTCGACTAAGTCCCAACTAAATGAAAATAGACGTCGGGTACTTGAAACAAGTGTGGGTCATAATGCAGGCAACTGGCTTAATAAATGCGACAACAATTTGTGGGAAATGTTGGTTGCGAGAAAAGTGCAACAACTTTTTAATAGCCGGCAATTAAAGCATAAAAATATATATAAATAAAACGCATAAATAACGAGCAGACGAAATGGAGCGTTTAGTGCGAGCAAAACTTTCCGTATAAACTTTATTTTTTTTTTTTTGATATTTTTTGTAGCTTCTCGCCAAAGCAGCTTAATAATAGATGAGAGCATGTGCCATAGCTTAAACAACATTTATATTTATGTGTTTGAGATGAGAAAAAATGCGAGGACGATCAGCGCAAAGCGCCAAAGCGCCAAAGCGCATTAGTTGCAAATAAATTATGAAAAATAAAATGAAATTCACTTAAATAATTCATGCCAAAAGCAAAGCCAAAACCCTGCCAAGACAAACATGAACAGGATCCTTGGTATAAGCAGCCGCTTGCTTGCCTACAAATTATCGCTGCGACAGACGACAGCCAGCCCTTGGCTGCCGCATGTGCTGCGGGGGCGTTGCCAGACAAATAAACAAACCAACCCACACGCACACGCACACACACACTCATAGTCACACGCGCGCATATATAATACAATTGTATAAGGCGAGCTTTAACAATGCCGCAACATTTTCCTCTTTTCAGTCCAGACATTTTATTTTTATTTATTTGGCCATTTTTTTGGCATTTGCTTTGTTGTTCTGGCAAAGATCTAGCCAAAACTCAACTCAAATCGCACATTTCTGCATAAACTGCGCTTCTGCATTTGTGACCAAGTTTTTTGTTACCATACCCTGTAGTCATCAGATACGGGTGCTAAAGGCAGCAAAGGCAGGCAAAGGGACAGTTTTTATGTAGGTTGATATTCAAATAATTGAGAACTATATTCAAGAATATCCTGTAGACATTATTATCTGACATAATTATCATTATGTTCGAAATAAATACAGATTGTATTCGAGATTCTAAGCGATCTTCAGTACTAATATGAAGGGTATCTCAAGCTAATCACTTTCGCCTCACTTATTCAGAGTGATTTTTCTTATGCTGGGCTGATGCTTAAGCAACTCGCAGGCTACTCACTGCCTAACAAGTGACCACGCCCACACTTCAACCTCAACTGACAATCTGACTGAATGACTCTACCCCGCCTGCATTCCCGCGCTCCGCATGCTCTCGACTATCGCTCTGACTAAAGCTGCGGGCATATTGTAAAACTTTTTGGCACATGTCTTGCATGTTTGCAGCTGAGAGGCTGGCGTCCAAGGAGCTCACTTACCCAGCGCCTGACGGTTGGCCAGGGGGAGAGATACTTACTCGAGTCTGAAGTGCACACGAACGCGGCTCAAGGCAATTGTTAAAACGGCGAAAATGATGCGAATAAAAGAAGTTCGTAAACGCAACTAAAGTGGCCTTTTTGCCAATAAAATTCAATTGCCAAAAAAAACTCAAAGTTTCAATTATTTTCAACCATCCGCAAAAATAGAGAACTCCAACTTGGTGAAATTCCTGCACAAATTGGCATTTATAATGTTATGCCAATCGATATTGACTATTTGTGTATATGCCAAAAATGTTGGCTAATAATCTCTGGAAACGCCTCCATTTCTTTCTGGAGTAAATTTAATTTATTTCTAAAATTAGGAAAATACCAAAAGAAAAAAAAATTTGTTTTCGCATATTAAGCCCAACATTTCTATGTCCTGTCTGATCCCTTTTTTTCCAGCCCATGCCTGGTAGACGTTTCTTAATAGGCGCTTTTGGGCTGCCTTTTTGATAAGAATGCGGAATAAATTGTTAGAGGAAGGAAACTAAATTCATGAAAATAAATATAATAAAACGAAACTAAAATTTTTATTTGCGACGCGCTTGCAAAACTTTTCTTTCGTTGACCGCATTCAGAAAAGAAATGCGACTCAAGACTTTGGCAAATAATAAAAAACTTTTCCTACGTGACACTAAATGTGTTGCATACTTTTTGGGCCCGCTCCGAAAATAAAAGACGAACAAATAACTTGACCGAAACTCGAGCAACTGCCCTGATACTTATAATTATGGAATGGAAAATTACAAATTAAAGACGCTCACACTTTTCGGCAAACAGCACTATGTGGGCGTGTCTGTTTAAGCTTATATAATCCCATTAAGATGACTTACAAATTACAGCCAGCCCACCTTGGCCCCGGGCGGTCATGGGTCGCGCCACGCCTGCTGGCGTTTGCATTAGAGCAAAATTTGGCAAACATTTTTGGCAATTTTCGACTCCCAAACTCCATGAAGCTTATTAGGACAAATGGGACTTAGGCAAATTGTTGCTTCCGCTGGCTTTAGGCGAAAGCGGAAGTAAACTGAGGGCGTGTGTCAGCGCGACAGGCAGACATGGCGAGGGGCAGAACAAACAAAAGCATAAATTACAAAATTAACGCATTTATTTCAAATTGAATTTCCGCCTTTTCGTTTAATGTTATGTGAAACTTTAATGATAATTGCTCGCAATGAAAAAAACTTAATAAAGCCAACAATATTTTATACATTTATTTTTTATATAAAGTATGCATCGCATGCTTGAAATTAGCTGGCACTTAAAAACTGGCAATTAATTAGCGATTGTATTATTTATTTCAAGTGGAAACAATTTTAAAATGCTGCTAAGTGTTGCTTAAACTCTTCAATAAATATACGCCATTAAAGAAATACAAATATTTGTTTACTCTCAACTCTTTAAAACTATAAAAAAAAGCTACAGCCAATTTTGTATTCTTCTAACATTCTGTTATAAGCAATTGTTGCCGCAAAAACTTTCTATTATTGTACTCAAATGGCTTTCAAATAAACATATGTTGTGTACATGGCAGCAATACTGGTAATAAACAAGTATTTATGGTCCATTCAATTGGCTTGGGTCAGATAAAAAGTTTATTGAACCTAAAGATGGCGTAAAAACTCGTCTAAGCCAATAAATACAGACTTTTCTTTCTATATTTGCGCGTTTCGTCAAAATAATAGAAAGGCAAAATCAAAAATGAAATTCATCATTCAGAAATGCCACCAAAAGCTGGCGACAAGCATGAAAATGAGCTCAAAAACGGACAACAACAACAATCACAAAAGACGACACCAATTTTTATGAGCGCCAAAGCAAAATGCTTTGTGACTTTGTTACATTTTTCGTGGCAACAGCGTAAAGTTGCCTTTATTACCTACCTACTTACTGCAGTTGTTGCCCCCGGCCCCAGACTGTAAATGTCTATCTCTCCGTCTAACTGCCTGACAGACTGGCCAAATATTTATGCGGGCAAAGCCAACAAGATTGATGCTGACTGGCCAAAAGCTGCTGAATAACATTTTTCGCTGATCTGGTGTCTGAAAAATGTTCACAAGATTTTCAATGCATATTTAAATCAAGCGGAGGGTATATTGATTGTGCAAAGAAATCGGAACAAAATTCAACAAGAATTCAAAGTTTATTTAAAGAATAAAAGTAGAATGAAAAAACTTTCTATCAAAACCAAAAGCTTCATTTGCTCGAAATTAATTGCAAAGCCTTTTGAATTAAATTAGGAGAAACTTAAACCAGATATTGATAATTTTGTATACAAAATAATAATTAATTAATTAATTAATTAATTATTTTGTAAAATATGTTAAATTCTTACTGTTGAATTTATACATTGAAATTATTGAATTGTTTTTGAAAAATATATACATTTTGGTGTTATATGTTGTCTATGTAAGGGTATTAATTTTGTGGCATGCCTAATTTTGCTTTCAATTGTAGCTACCACATAGCATAATGGGCGAGGAGTTGGCGTTCGTTTTTGGTGCGCCGCTGGCGCCGGCCGGCCCATTTCCCAGCCACAACTATTCCGTGCAGGAAAAGCTGCTTTCCGAGGCGGTAATGGCATATTGGACGAACTTCGTAAAGACCGGGTGAGTAGTGTCTGTGGCAAAATGAATTGAAGAGTGCATTTGCTGAAAGTTTGCGATTGGAAATGCCGCACGGCATTGTGTAGATAAGCAGCGGGGCGCAACGTTGGCGGAGTCGGCGGCCAGCTGAGCCATCAACACGACGAGTCGCAGCTCTGCATGCAAATGCAAATGTTACTGCGACTGCGGATGCGACTGCGACTGCGGATGCGATATCCATGGAACTGGGCTGCGGCACGTTTTGCAATCTGCAACGCTCGGACAGTGAAATGAATAGAATTTTTACTGCCGTTTTTATTATTATTTCGTTACAAAAACTACGCCAAAAAAACGGCCATAAGCAGGGCAACAAACACAGCGCTCATGCAAATATTATTAGTAGAAATTCGGCGCCCAAGCAAAATGGCAATCAAAGCCGAAATCAGAGATCGTTAGCAGACATTTATGTCTTATATATATATATATATATTCTTTTTGGTATTCAGCTTCAAGTCTCATTCAGGCAGTCATTAGCTATTTGACCCTGAGATTAAAGGGGCAAATTGAAAAGGAAAATATGCTGAACAAATTGGGGCAATGTTAGCACAAAGTAAGAAGCAGAAAATTAGGCTTAGTACGGAGACCTATGAATATGCTGAGATAGCGAATAGTGGCTACTGCAAGGAACTGGGGGAAACATTATTTTAACTGCCAATGGGATCCGTTTTGGCGAGAGTTAATTTTCATTTATTCACTTTATATATTTTATATTATTTTTCTGTTTTCCTTTGTATCATATTCTGTTCTATCCAATGCTTTTCAATATATAATCAATATATTCTTTTATATACTATCCATTTGTATTTAACTGCAATATATTCTTGTTCATTATATAACGAGATGGGCCATATATCTTTTACTTCTTATATTGATCGGACTCTTTCTATACTTGTTTTTAGCAACCCGAAAGCACCGTGGAAGGGAACATTTTTGAATTCGCATCTCTTGGAATGGGATCGCTACGATTTGGACTGGCCGGAGTTTAATAAGCGTGCGCAGGCCTATCTCAATATTGGTAAGTACGGCATTTGCCACACTCGCAGTCTAGCACACTTGCTCAAATACCCGCACAACCAACCATGCCAACCAACTAATGAACGCATTTTGATGCCCTGACTTTGGTTGGAATCGCATTCGCATTTGCATTTGCTTGGTCTCTGGCAGGGATACCGCCGACAGTGGGCTACAAGTACCGTCAGATTTACATGAATTTTTGGAACAAAGAGCTGCCGGACGAGCTGAATCAAATTGCGGCAATACAGGTGCGAGGGCAGCAACAGCAGCTGGCCGGAAACGAGGTGATTACGGGCCATATGAGCAAATACGGGGCGCGTGACAATGGCGCCGAGGATCCGGTGCGTACGCTGAAATTGCTGCTACAGGAGCCGCTGGCAACGGGCAGCGAGCAGCTAGAAACCGCTGCGGAAAACATGTACAATGCCCCGCCCACATTCGGTCATGTGCATAGGCAGCAGCAGCAGCAGCAGCAGCAGCAGGGCATTGGCACTAATGGTGCTGAGGGCGTGGCCATATCCGGCGAGGATGCAACACACAGCAACGACTATGGGGAGTACGGGGCGTCATCTTCCACGGCGACGCCAGCTGAGCCCATTGCCAAATCCGAGACGACGCTGCAGCTGCTCATTGCGCTCATCGCCATCTTCATAGTGCTAAACGTGGCCATATATGCCACATTTCTGTTGCGCCAACGGCGGAAGCGCAACACATCCCTGCAACGCAAGTTGGGCGGCAACATTCTCAGCTACGATGGCGCCAACGATGATGAGCTGAAGCGTTGCAGTAAGTCGCGCGATGGCGACGATAGCTTCACTCTGGACATGGTGCGCAAGTCCAATACGTACGAGGCCATCAAGACAGGCCAGCGCTCGCCGATTAATGGCTATGCCATGCAGCGTCAGCTGAGCAGCTCCACGGTGGACACGCACACCAAGGTATGTGAGTGGATGTCCGCACAGCATCGGCACACGAGTTCGGGCCATAAGCTGCCCAAATCGGGCAGCTTTAATACCACGCCCCCGCCGCCGCCGGCTGCGCAGTCAGATAGTCGCATTATCATATGCCAGGACATAGAAGTGGCCGATGCCGCGCTGCTGACTCCGCAGCATATGCATGAGACGCCTGAGGGCATGCATTATGAGCTGCTGCTGCAGCGCCAGCACTCGGCGCTGACAGAGCCCAGTGAAGCCACACTGCAGCCACAGCATGGCCACGCCTACGCACACGCACACGCCCACTCCCACTCGGATCCAGTGGACATGATTTTAGCTGCGGATGAGCAGATCACAAGCTTTGTGCACGCCGATGATGTGGACATCAATGTGACCAGCCGCGACGAGGATGCACTCGTGCTGCAGCCCCTCAGCGCCGCACAGCAACTGGAGCTGCTGCGTCAGCGTAACTATCCCAAGGTATTGCCGACGGCGCAGGATTTGCGCACTAGTCACAGCTACAAGCGCAACTCGCTGCCGCCGCAGAATTTCACCGCACCGCTGCCACCGCCGCGCACCATTAGCAGCACGCTGGGCCGGCGGCGTCGGGATAGCAGCAATATAACCACATCGCCGCTAATGCTGGCCCAGGACTCTGGCGAGGAAGAGCCGCGTGAGCCGCAAATCACGCAGAATACCCTGATTGTGGGACCCATTGTGCCCAAGTCGCCAGCGGCATCGCTTAAGCGCATCAAGCACACGCCAACCGCGCGGCCTCAAATGGATGGCACAGAGGTAAGCGGTGTGGCCACGGGCCTGAGCACATTAAGCGGTTCGTTTCAGTCGTTCGAGTCGGTGCCGCCGGCGCATGAGGCAACCCCGCCACAGGGTCAACGCACCGAGTGTGTCTATGCCATAGCGGCGAGCGCCAGTGTCAGCTCCCTGCCAGGCATCAGCTCGCCCAGCAGCTGGTCAGCACCCAATGGTGATCTGTATGCGCAGCCAACAAAGTCCGCTTCGAGAACGTCGCTCATACCGCGTCCGTTGCAGTCAGCGCCAGCGCCAGAGGCGCCAGTTGCGTCGCAGCAAGTTTCAAGTGCAGCTGCCTCGGCCACGCCCAGCCGCATACCGCAGCTGCAGCGTCAGGCATCCGGCAAGGAGCTGTCGCCTGTTGACGGCGAGCAGACAGCAGATGCCACAACATCCACAACATCCAATTCACGCGTCGGCTCCGCCATCTCAAGTGATTCATCCGCCTCGGCTGCCTCCTGGCGCAACTCCACAACGTCTTCGTCCTCGTCGTCGACGGGCACCGTGCGAACGGAACTGCAGCATTGCCAGCAGCCTGGGCGCACCATTGCCACTCACATCTAGTAGTCGTAGACGCCAAGCAGAGCTCTCAATTTGACACCATTAACGCACCCGCTGTGCCGCGCGGGGCCCCGCAATGCGACGACAACGCCAGATTTTGGATTCCAGTGCAATGCCAGTCTGCCAGGCTGCCAAATCCTTTGACGGCTTGTGGCTTGGTTTGCCGTGGAAGCCACTCACGCGCGCCAATTCGCTCGCAATTTTCTAGTGTTTGTGAAAATTTAATAATACATTTTGGTCGAAAGTTTATCTTTGACTTGGCGGTTGGATTGCACAAGCAGAATCCTTCAGCGGGCGCACCAGGATCTGCTGCAGCTTGTGGTCGCAAAAGTTTTGCCCAACTTCCAGTTTCGTTTAGGCTTTGATTCAAATGAGAAGGCACCAAAGTCGAAATACCTAACGAAAACTCAAGTAAAATGAGTTTCGAGTTGAATTTTATGAAAGGGATTCGGAAAAATTACGGGAACGTATTTTAATTGATTTAAAAATGCATTGAATGGCAAATAGTAAATATTATGTGCGCAATAAAAGAAAGTCAAGTTTAACTTATTTAAGCAAATAAAAATCGAATATTAAATTCAAATTAGCTGTAATAGATATTATATATAATGCGTAAAATATATACTGATAAATAATTGTGTAAGATAACCAAAATGACATCAAGAATATTTCATTTGAAAATATTCTTTGTATTAGTTCGTAGTTAAGAAGTAAGAAGGGAACATATATAAATATTACTTGTAAGCATATTTGCTGCATACATATGATTTTACACATTTAGTCAAACCAAAGATAGAACATTTCATAAAAAAGAAGAAAACTAACAAAGTTCAGCTACAACGCAAACTGATTTTAGCTTATAAGGAAATTGTAAAACAAGTATTATGGGAAGATTAAACGGGAGCTAAGGTTACATATACATATAGCCTCTATAACTAAGCTTAATTTATGAACTACGTAAATAATAATTAACCTAAATATAAGCAACTTTCAGTTTAAGTACATAATCATGTAGAAAAGTTCGACTTGTTTATTTACGCTAATTGATAATTGGGAAGAAAAAAACTTTGCCGTTGGTTCTGCTTGTGCCTTGTTACCTGCAAATAAGCCCGAACAATGCGCAATTTTATCGACTACAAATTGGCCCAAAACTCTTGTGTCAGCAATTTGGCAAATAAGAGCTTCTTATATAACCAGCAGCAGCCAATACAAAGAGCACAATTTTCCGGGTGCTGGCAACTTAATTTGAAGTCCTGACTAAATCTCAAGCAATGTCAACATTTGTACAGTGGCAAATATTTCAAATATTTTCCGATTTTCTGTGAGCAGTTCTTGCCGCAGGGAGTTACATCAAACTTGTCACCACAAAATAGTTGCCAAGCAGTTTGCCTAAACTCTATCCTAGCTGGAATAAAGTTTTGCGACTGGCTTTTATCCTGGGCTTTCGCCTTTGTGGCACATTACTTTTTGGTCTTTCAGCGAATTGAGTTATTGTGTCGCCGTTTTCTTTTTTTTTTCCAAGGGTTCAGGGTTTTGTTGTATTTTATGCAAATTGCTGTCATGCAGTTGGCGCGTTTTTATTCCGCCTGGAACAGGGCAAAAACCTTGGCCAAAAAGTACAAGAATGTTTTGTTGGGACAAATTGAAATCCTTGCCATAAACACAACCAAAACGCAGAACGCACAAAAGTTGTAATTAAATTGAGCGTCCAATTGAATTGTTTGGTGGCAAGGTGCAAAGGGAAAGTCCCTTTCGCATTAATATTTGTTTTACGCTAATTTTGTTAAGTTCTTTCGTACTTCATAAGCTGGCCTCCCCCCAGGCGCCCAGTTGGCACTAATTGGGGTACACAGAAACTTGTCGGCATAACAAGGGGGCAGCATATAAATCGCTTAAATACAGCTGTAGCTTTTAGCTCTGTCTTCAGGTATGCAGCGCAGTGTCGACACGATTGACACATATTTGCACTTCAAAGAGTGGCAATGCAAGGGTAAAACATCCTGTGGCTTCACATATGACTGACTCAATTTCCAGCTGTTCGCATTTGCCTGCTGGTCGGCTCAGTGTTAATTTGCTACATGCCAAATGCTTCGAGTGTTCTCTACACTCAATTTCAACGCACTTTTCCCACAACTTGCTTCTTCACTTGCTTCTCAATTTTCTCAGCATGTGGGTAATTGTCTTTCGAGTATTTGCCTTTGTGCATTGCTGAGTCTGGTGTGAGCAGAGTTTGAAGCACTTGGTTAATTAAATCAGACCAGACATAACGACAATAACAACTTACACTTATAAAGCTACTATGCAAGGTGATAATGAATAAGTACAAGGGATAACCCATCAGTGGGAAAATGTATCCTCAATTCTACTTTATTAGTATTTCGGAGTCACTCCTTCGGGGTTAACTCCTTCCTTTGCTCTGCTTTCTATGAAGATATGATATGTATTCAAATACTCAGATGAGAGTCTCTTCGTATCCTTACTCAGCACGGGCAGTTCATGGCTTACAGTGCGTATGATTCATAAACTCTTAATATGTATAAATATCAAAACTCTAAGTCCGGAAAAATTACATTTGATTCATGGCTTAAAAATAAGCTGATATTCCCTTATATCATTTGTTCGTCAAACCTGACTTAGATATAGTCCAATCGTGCTACTTTATTATTTTTTAAAGTTCTTTCTTTGTTTTAATGTTTGATAACCACTTTAAAACAGTTTCTTTGGTTTTCCACCAAATTGAACATTGTCACGACAATTGTGTGTAAGATGCGAAAAACTACTTTAAAACTTAACCGACACCCACAAACTTAATCAAAGTTTCTAACCAACAAAGAATCTCTAGTAAAAGAAGCCAAATTATTTACCAAAATTGCTGACAACCGCAAATTAGTTTAAGCTCAAGAGTAGATTAAAATGAAGTTCTGTTAGCTTGCTTAGCTATTCCCACACACATAAAGATGCGAAGCGATTTAAGAAAATAACTTCTAGATAAATAAATAAACACCAACATAAAGACAAAAAGTCAAGTGCAGTAGCCAAACTGAAACTTTCTGGCGACGGGCAAAAATGCAAGCACATATACAATTGCATTGAACTATTTTTGGCCAGAGTTTTGATTTATAGTTGCCAATTTTATTCCAATGTTTGATTATTATATTTTTTTGTGGCTTGCAGAAGGAACTGATTCAATTGAAAATCGGAGCCAAATGGCAATACGAAAAATAAAATAAATATTTGTTGTAGTTTAATATATAATCGCATTAAATTTAAATGCGAAAAACGAAAAAATCTGAAGTAAAAATTATGTGAAATATATTTGCAATAATTAAATGCGATAGGGAGGTGAACAATGATAATTGCTTTTAATAAATGCATATGCGATGATATTTTTGTGGTATTTCTGCACACAAATTAAGCGGCTTAAAAACGTCATGACTAATTAATGCACTTTATAATTAGTATTATAAGTTTAATACCATTGAGCTTCATAAGTATAAAGCTGCACATACAAACACAATTAAATACCAACAGGGCCAACAGCTTAAATTCAATAGCATTCAGCAATAAACTGGTTAAACATTCCACAATATGACAAACCCCGATCCACACTTATACAGAAAATCACAAATAAAATATTACAAAGGCAAATATGCAAATTATGTTGTCTCATGTAATTCACTTTATACGATGCTGGCTGTTGTTTTATTTATATTTTTTTTTTATTTATGATGTGCTGGTGCATTGTTTGACTTTTTAATGAAAATTTTCATAATTTAATAGGAACCAAGCTCAAATCAACAAACGACACAACATAAACATGTGTGAATTATTTAAAAGCCAACAATTACTATAATCTGTATCTGTATATGTTGAACAAAAAACACAAAATAAAAAAAAAGATTGAAAAAGTTATTTGAGCTTAAATAAAATACATTCTACATTAAACAAGGACATATATTTTTTTAATTATTATTTTGTTTGAATTGAAGGCTGATTGTTGCAGCAATGTGTGTAGTTAAGCATTCTGTGAGAACATTCTGTGCAGTATTTAATTGTTAAATATTTTAAGCATAATAAATACACACTATGTGCATGGAATTATTGATTAAACACTTAAATATCGAGCTCTTATATTTTTCTTAATTGTTTCATCAATAAAGTGTATTTGTTGACGTGCTCAAATTAAATTTTCAAATTAAGTAACTTAAGGTTTTTAGCTACAGTGTACTGTTTGTTCATAAAGTTTTGCTTACAAAAGCTATCAACTGCTTTATCATCAGACAAATATTATTGAGAACTTTAAGTTATTTCCAGCTTACCAAAAATATCTAAGTTGCTTTATTTTAAACTTAAATTGGTTTTGTCAAAATGTTAACTTAGTAGTTTCGGTACCCTAACGCTTAATGCCTTTAAAGAGCTTAACTTGTCAACCGTACCTTAATTGCGGAAATTGTACGTAAAACTTTGAAAGGTTTTAAATAATCGCACTATAATCAAATAAAACTAAATTTTGCGGTTGTTGTTTGCATTCAAATCATTTGCAAACGGAAACACATCGAAATAATTGTGCTAACATAATAAATTAAATATTTTAATTAAACATAATAACTTCGCTCATAATGTTTTTGGTGCTGTTCATTTTTAAATTTCGAATGCATTCCCAGCTCATTTTAGTTTTCACTCATCTGCATAATTGTTTATTGTTTGTGTTGTCTGTTGCGGTTGAAGTTCAATGAACTGCAAAATTACAAACCTTATTGTTAGTGGAATCTAAACAAAATATTTCCAAAACAGCATTTCAATTGATGCACAAAGTAATTAAAGCAAAGGTGCGGAATTTGCTAATAGTGCTTCATTAATGTTGGGCATGCATTTTAGCATTAAATTTGCATGTGACCGTAGAATGCGTGGCTTTAAAGCTTCAACAGAATTTGACAAACACATTGAAAGCCTCAACTTATAACTATAAAATTGTTTTTAAAATTATATTGAAAAAATATAATTAAATGAAATTAATTGAAGCAAAATACATTTTAAATTTATTAAGTAAGAGGCTCTAGTCGGGAGCTCCAGACCCGGAACCATCTTCCTCCAACTCCAAATGCAGCTCGCGCTACGCGATAATAGTTTCCTCAGAAGGGCTTCGAACTTGCAACAGACCGCACAATTTGACGCCGCCTCTACTCAACGCAAACATTATTAATTTAGTCTTAAAAATAGCAGCACAAAAGTCAAAAAACTGGATTTCGATATAGATTCTTATCGATTACATGCGCGGGCCTACAGCTAAAATTTCAAATCTCTAGCTCTTATAGGTTCTGAGATCCTTGCAATCATACACACGGACAAACGGACAGACGGACAGACAGACAGACGGACATGGCTAGATCGCCTCGGCTGTTGATGCTGATCAAGAATATATATACTTAATGGGGTCGGAGATGTTTCCTTCGGCCTGTTTCAGGGTATAACAAGAAATGAAAATATAAATTATTAAAGTAATCAATAAAAAG